GACTTGCCGGGGGTGCGGCCGGCGCGGGATGCGTCAAGAGGCCGGACGTGTGCGGTAAGTTCTAGAGCCTCCCCCCGGGTTCCTTCCCCAGCACCTCGGGTCGAGCGTGCGCTCTGTCAGCATGGACGGGGGAGACTTGACTCACTTGCGGGCTTTGAACCGAACCTCAGAGGGGCCCCCGGTGCTGGAGGCGCCGCCTGGACAGTCATAAGTGTCTGCCCCATGCAGGTGACTCGGCCCACAGGCCTGGGGCTTGTTCGCGGGCGGGGCCCTGGGCAGGGGGTGGGCCTCCGGGGGAAGGACCCCTGTCTGTGATCCCTGGAGGGGGAGGGGCCGTAAAGGGAAGAGACGTGGTAGCTTGCAAACTCTGCCGAAGCCCACAGGCCTGGGGCTCGTTCGCGGGCGGGGCCCTGGGCAGGGGGTGGGCCTCCCGGGGGAAGGACCCCTGTCTGTGATCCCTGGAGGGGAAGGGACTGTAAAGGGAAGAGACGTGGTAGCTTGCAAACTCTGCCGCACTGTTAACTGACGCTGACGGTGCCCCCGCTGTGCTCAGCCAAACCCGCGCTCCTCACGTCCACGCGAGGCTCTGAGACCGTCACACGGACCCCGCGGCGGGGACCCAGTGACCCTGTCTCCAAAGGGGGGCGGGGCGTTTGCGACTCACCTTTAGCGGCAGCGACCATGCCCGGGCCTTCTGTCCCGCTGCTGCCTTCTGTCCGTCTGTCTCTTCGCCTGTCCGTCTGCTGTCCCAGCGAGAAGTGTGCAGCCCCAGTCGCTGTGTTGTGACCCCGCATGTCTCGGGCCCACGCCTGTCTGCTCTGCTTAGCACATCGGCGCCTCTTTACCTCCTGGGAGAACACGGCTCCCCCGGGGGTTCCCGAGCTGAGAACGAGGCCCCGCACGGGCTCAGGGGGACGGAGGCGGGCGGGAGGGCTGCGTGGACAGTCATGAGTGTCTCCACGTGCAGGTGGCCCAGGCCTTCTCGTGGGGCTCACATGGTCTTGCTGGGAGGCCTCTCAGAACAGGCGCTCAGCCCCAAACACCCTCCCCAGAGACAAATGGCGGGGGTGCCTTCCATCCTTAGTCTGCGAACGGGTTTCCGTGACTCACTTCACTTGTTGTAAAAGGGAAGGAGGGAGGGAGGGAGGAAGGAAGGAGGGAAGGAAGGAAATAGGCGCTCAGCCCCAAACACCCTCCCCAGAGACGAATGGCGGGGGTGCCTTCCATCCTTAGTCTGTGAATGGGTTTCCGTGACTCACTTCACTTGTTGAAAAAGGGAAGGAGGGAGGGAAGGAGGAAAGGAGGAAGGGAAGGAAGGAAGGAGGGAGGAAAGAAGGGGGGAAGAAGAAAAGGAGGGAGGAAGGAGGGAGGGACAGAGGAAGGAAGGAAGGAAGGGAGGGAGGAAAGTAGGAAGGAAGAGGAGGAAAGAAGGGAAGGAGGGAGGGAGGAAAGAAGGGAAGAAGAAGAAAGGAAGGGAGGGAGGAGGAAGGAGGAAGGAGGGAGGGAGAAGGGAGGGAGGAGGGAGGCGTATTTTGTAGCCTCTGAATCTGACCTTCCTTGCACACACACGGGATCAGGCAGCTGGACTTGGTTCTTACTTGAAATTGATATATATTCCCTCTCCTTCCTGATTCACGAGCAAATGGACCAGGCAGTCAGAGATATTTTTTGAATTTTCAAAAACCACTAATGGCTTCCTGACAGCCCCCCAAAATATTGACAGGCCCTTATGCTGAGTGGCTCGCAGGCCCCACCCCGGCCCCGGTTCTATTTTTAGCCACACACACCCCCTTCCCTTGGAAGCTGTTAAAACCATATTTAAAAGGCGCAGAAAAGGGTTGTGTGCCAGTCCAATCCCCCCGTTTCTTCTGGGGGAGGAAGGCACGGACGCACGCGGGAGTCTTTCTTTCGCTGTTGTTCTACGTGTGTGTGATGGGGGGCTTCCTTTTTGGCTGTTGTTTGGGGATGTTGTTTAAAGTCTATTTTCAGTGCTTTCAGATCCCTGAGTAGGACCCTGGTTTCTGCCAGGAATCCAGGCATCAGAAAAGATCAAAACCAGCGCGTTCACGAGCTCTTTATTATTGAAATGAGCTCATATTACCCCATTAATTTCCCCTCCTCCTGTCCCTGCTGGAGGAAGCTGGGCCTGGGAGCAGAGGGTGGGGAGGCCTGGTGCCCACTCTGTCTCCTGAGCCCTTTCCCTCTGAGCTGAGCTCCGGGCACTGCCCCCCCCCCCCCCCCCCGCCCCCAAACAGCAGCTCCCAAAGCCCCTGCGGTTCCTGGGAACCTGACAACCTTTGCCTGGTCACCCCTTCGGCCCTTGGGCAGCGGCACCTGGGTCCCGAGTTATAGTTTCTCTCCAAGAGGGGAACCAAGGCCAGCGGGTGAATGGGTTTCTGTGACTGACTCCAGTTCTGTCCCACCCAATGGCTTTAGGAGCAAATTGTTGAAAGGGGGGCGGGGAGGAGGGAGGAGGAAGGAAAGAAAGAGGAGGGTGGAAGGAAGGAGGAAGGAGGAGGGAGGGAGGGAGGAAGGAGGTAAGAGGGAGGAAGAGGAAGGAGGAAGGAGGGAGGGAGGAGGAAGGAAGAAGGAGGAGGAAGGAAGGAGAAAGGAGGGAGGAGGAAGGGAGGGAGGAGGGAGGAAGTACCTTTGACTCTGATCCCTCTGCTCCTTGTACACCTGGGGCTTCCCCAGGTAAGGCCCGGCCCTCCCGCTCCACCTGCACTCAGGGGGAGAAGCAGGAGCGAACCTCCCTGGTTCTGGGAGCCCAGTGCCCAGGTTCATTTGGCCTGTTCCTTCCGAGCACGGGGATGCCTAGGCCTGAGGGCGCTTGCCCTGAGGGTGACAGAGCTGATGTGTGAACCCGCTGTATTTGCCAAACAGTCTGCTCCCCGTTTCAGAACAAACAAATGGACGGTGTCTGAGTCGGCAACCGGGTGACATGTAGCCTTGTTTATGTTCCATCCCTTTCGCCGCGGAGTTTTGGCTCCAAAAGCTACTGTCTGAGTCAACAGGGCCTCCGAGGGGGTCTGGACGCCTTCCTCTGTCGTCCTGTCCAAGTTCCCCTCGATCCATGGGAGCTACTGCCCGGGACCCAGCCAGGGAGCAGCAGAGCTCGTTGGTTCAGCCCTCTGCATGGACCGGGGATGCCTGGGCCTGAGGGCGCTCGCCCTGAGGGTGACAGAGCTGTGGTGTGAACCCGCTGTATTTGCCAAACAGTCTGCTCCCCGTTTCAGAACAAACAAGTGGACGGTGTCTGAGTCGGCAACCGGGTGACATGTAGCCTTGTTTATGTTCCGTCCCTTTCGCCGCGGAGTTTTGGCTCCAAAAGCTACTGTCTGAGTCAACAGGGCCTCCGAGGGGGTCTGGACGCCTTCCTCTGTCGTCCTGTCCAAGTTCCCCTCGATCCATGGGAGCTACTGCCCGGGACCCAGCCAGGGAGCAGCAGAGCTCGTTGGTTCAGCCCACATACACGCACATGTGTGATCACAAGTGCACACACGTACATGCACGTGAACACATGCGTAAGTGCACATGTGTGTGCATAGAGTTACACATGGACACATGCATGCACATACTTGCACACACAGGTGCGCACACATACATGCACAACATATTGGCATGCACACACACTGGCACACACTCACACGCGTTCACACACACTCACACCTGCTCACTCACATGCACACTCACACACTTCCCTCCCTGGCAGGACTTGGGGTTCGCGCGAGGATGAGAATGCTGAGTGTAGTCAGGACAGACACCCTCTCCCAGGGACGTGCAGACCCCGTGGGCGCAGCCACCCCGTGGGCCAGGGGCGTGTGGCCCCATCGCTGTCCCCATCGCCTGCACTCGCCACACCAGCCGCTGGGTCAGGTCCTCCCTCCCAGTTCTCGCTGCAGGAGACGGGGCGGGGGGCGGGGTGTCTTCCAAACACTGTGGGCCTCGCCCCCCTGAGCAGTCAGGGCCCTGCGCCCTTGCTCTCGGACTCCTCCGGCCCCGGTCCCGGGACTGTTTAATGACTGTGACGTTTTCTTGCAGGTAAGTGACCCCCGTTCTAGCCGGTCCAGCTGGACGGGCCCTGGCGTGTCCGCGCTGCCCACCGGCAGCTCCCGA